TATATATATATAGTATAGCTATATATCAAATATATGATAACATATATACACTATATATATATATTATATATATATTAGTAATATATATTATTATATATAGTATATATATATATTATATATTATGATATATCAAAGAATCTGTAACACAAACCTCCAATACCAAGTCAATTGTAGATGACCTGAAAAAAATCACAACCATTGGTTCAGAACCTTTTTAAGGCTTTCGTTTGGACGGCCTTTCTTAACTGCTTTCTTAAAACGGTTTTTTTAGTACAAATATTGTTAATTTTTTGTACTAGAAAGCCACTTTAAGGAAGCGAATAGAGAAGTGAAGCCGTCGCCAAATAGAAGCCAAGTCAGTAGATTGCTTTCTAAGAGGCAACAAGATTTGGGTATATGAGTCATTTATCCTTACAATTGAGAAATAAAATAGTTTTCATGTAAATTATCATGTAAGAAGGCTTTGATACATCTACTAATATAGGATCCATAATTTAATGAAAGCACCAAAATATAACTCAAATTGTTCGCATTTTGGCAATTGGACGAATTTTCAATATAATAATATCATACTCCAGTTTGTAATGAACTCCTAGACGGCATTGGTCTAGCAGTAGAAACAATTTTTCATCCTGAGGAGACATAGCATAACTTCCCAGATCCCACTTGTTGGGTTTATGAAGAGATGTTTAGGACTTGTTTGGACATCGAGCGGTGAGCTTTTAAATAGCTCACAATGTGGTTGAGTCGTTGGCTCTGCCTTCTCCGTTTGGTAAATAAAATTGGGTCATCTTCTACACATCCCAAGCTGTCTACACTCACACATATCGACACTAATGTGTGGTTAATCCATATGCATCAGAATCATCACAATTATTGCCAGAGAGCACCACTCGAAAGAGCAAGTAAACGTATATCAAATTCTAGTGCAACCATACATGATGGAGAATTTAAAAATTATACAAATTCACAAAATCAATATATTAAGTGCAAAATTCAAAGATTGTGGTCATACCATAAATCCTCAGTCATGCTCTTGAGATTCGTAGCGCATATGACTAGATTTCGATATCTCTCAATAATCAACGAGTCTAACATGCCTTTTTCTCAACCCGAACCATTATAAACGTGGATTTTAGTTCGGTCAGCTTTCCTTATTGTTTAAATTAAAACATTTTTTTAGAACCAAATTTTTCATATTTATATTTAAAAATTCTAGCCATTTAAAAATACAAGTAAAAAACCGTCCCAAACGAACCCAAAGCCCCCTGAAAATAATTAACACAAGCTCGAACCGTAAAGGTATCTGTCAGCTAGCCATGCATGCCATAATGAAGGCTTGACAATATCAAATGGCAAGCAAATCAGACTCTAGTGACATATTGATCCGGCGCGCAGCGACGGGAGTTAATGCATCGAGCAGGAAATCTTATTTCATATATTGACGAGAACGGAGGCGGCGGCCCAGGCTCAAGGCAACATGGGTAGAGAGGAAGCGGGCTTGTTGAGGGCAACTTATTAAGGTCCGGACATCCACTAAAAATTTTGCCAACTTGAACTGTACACGTGTTTGCTAAATTTAAGTCAAGCAACGTCAAAAGTGCAGGTAAGGCGCAGTCAAAGTGCAGTCAAAAGCGCAGTCAAAGCGGTTCGTCAGGAGAGAGGCCTAAAGCGCCATCCAAGTCCAAACACATCAGATCGTCTCACGTAACAAAACCTAACCCATATTATTTCATATACTAATAAGATGTGAAAGGAGTAAATTTATTATATTCTATAATATACAATAGTAATAAATTTGACACATTGTATATGAATTCCATCTATTTTATTTTGATACGTCGTCGGAAACAAATTTTAGCTGAACGGGCCAACGAATCTCGAGACAAAAAGCTAGTTGGAAACTTAAAAAATTAATTTTTGGGAGCACCTGAAACGTCGCGATTTCTAGCGAGCTATGTCAACTGAGCGTCTTGGAAATACAATCCAACGACCACCAATTCAAACGCCAATCGTGAGCCCAAAATTGGGCTCCATAATCATGCCGAAAGCGTTGTTGGAAGGTTCAAACCACAATTTTGAGTTACCAACGGACTCGCAATTATTGACCGGCTATACTTCGAATGCGAACGGCTCGATCGAAGACCGAACCCACGAGCCCAGATCACCGAATTCCGACATCAAACTGAAGGCATTCAACAGTCGTCCTAACAAACGGTGCATGATCGAAGGTCTCACTATCGCCATCCATTCAAACCACTCCCTATTCGCCTTGATCTCACCCTATTTATTCCGCGGGCCACGTCCAGCATAGCAATAATCGTAGAGATGTAGGGTGCCTCGAGTTCTCTGTTAACAGGAGGGGGTAGTCAGGTGTCTAGAGAGGAGGATGTAAGGATGAGAGATGTGTAAGGTGAAGAGGATGGGTGCCGTCCGACGCTCTCGTGCTTTAGCGTTGGCCGTGCTTTTTTCGACGTGAGCGATCGCGGGTTAGGCGATATTTTTCTCGCGTCGGGCTACCTGTCTACGTTGATTCCGATACACCCTGCAGGAGTCCTCGCCGAGCCACCCGTCCTGGTTACTCGATCCGCAGGAACCTCGTGCCTGTGACCACCCTTTTCCGAGCCTCGCTCTGTAGTATCTTTGCCTGTTCGCTCAGCTCGACTGTTGTAAGATTCTCTCGTACGCTCTTTTTTATCAGATCTGTACGCTCGCGTCGCTTGAAAGTATACACCGATCCGCTCTCTGCTATATGATAGCGGTCAACGCCCTGCTAGAAGACCCCGACGCCCTGCTGAATGACTTCCGACGCTCTTTTTCTTGTTGGGACCATCTTTGTCTCGGCGATCCGTTCCTGCCTCTAACAACGGCCGCATACGGCTCCTGCTTTAAGGCCCGACGTTCTGGGCCTATGAGAGGTCCGAGCTTTCGGCTGCCTTAGGTCGGCTTTGTCGGCGCCTGATTAGATCGTGTCACTGCACGAAGGCCGCCTGCGAACACTTTGCAACCCACGTAGGCCTCTATTGGTCCTGGCACTATACATGTCCTAGAGCTCTTGCCAATTGGAGTACTGGGGCTGCCATGAGCACCCGACTCCTTTTTGATGTTGTGTGAAGACTCGACGTCTCTGTTAAAGCTAAACCCTCGCTGGGGATGATTTCTAGCTCATTGTGTAAGACTCACAGTTTTCGTTTGGAAGCCTCTCTCTCTGCATAGTATCGGGCTAGGCCCGTGGTTTTTTTTTTGTCTCGCGTTTTTGTTCAATGTGGTTCGCGCACGTTAAAAATTCGCTTTGTGTTTACTCTGTATGTGAGCCTATGGCGTTTATCGTTCGCGTGGTGTCAGCTGTGCCTAGTGACGCAGTAACTCATGAAAGCCCATTCTGCTGTGCGTAGTTTTTAGCACTCGGCCAGTCCACGAATGTGTGTTGATTGTGCTGATCCTCTTATTTTGTTATTATACATTATAATAATTTTGTTTGTTTTCTTATTGTTTTCACCATTATACTTATTTATTGGTACACTGCGTATATATCGTTCAAACGAACACCAAATTGATGTATTTCGTGTATGTGCATATAGCTCGACTTTGGCTTTGAACGATATTACTACGATCTTCTCGAGCTGCGAGCTCGGCTCTGTGACGCATACCTTGTTTCATTGTGAGAATATATCGTATGTTATCTTAAAATGTTACATTGTTGTTGTATGAGCTCTCATGCATGTTTGCGTCGAGTCACATCTCTCACGTCATTAATAGGAGGAACGCTCTTTACGTCCATATTTGATTGTTGGTCCTCATCTTGCATTCGGTTGCTATCATAGAGTGTATGAGTCAAGCTTTGCACAATTGTAATGTATTTGGCTTCTAAGATAACTTGTATAGGTCTTCACATTTCACGTAGATAATCGTTTTTGTGTCTCAATGATAGTTTTTTACTAGTGTTCTTACGGGGTCACAACTGGCATGTCAATGAGGTCGCGATGTTTGGTCTTGTCAGAACCTCCATTCATTTATGGTCTTCAGGACTAGCTATCTTGGCTGTTTTTCTGTATCTTGGTTCTCTTCTTTTTTACTCTCGCGAGCTTCTCGCAGTTGGTGGCATAAGATGACATCAGGGGTATAGCTCTGGCGTCTCATTTTGGTTTGTCTT